CAACATAACTGAACAAAATACATTGAATACAACAAAATTGTGTCAAAGAAGGCAACTTCATTTTCCAACAATTAAATTATCATTACACAACGACCAATTTGTCACCGGCTCAGAAAAAACTATATTGATTTTAAACAATCATTCGCTTGTGAAAAGAACAGGTTATCAACTTTCAGTTATCAACTAAGAGTTGCCATAAGCGGAACTTTCCTTTGTCTATTCCTGTATATTATAAATGAATCGTCGCAATTATCGCAAAAATCTCACTGCAGTTTGTCAGTTATGTCTCTTCTAAAACACTCTATAAAATTCGAATTGGCTGCATTAGCCAAGAAAGATTTTTGAAGATTTTGGCCAACATTCTGCTGTATAATCTATATATATATGGGAAATTAAGTGATGACTTGACGGTGTGTCCCCGGTAAATGGCCACTTTTTCAATTCACACACAGGGAAGAATGGCTTTAATAAGATATCTTAATTTTGGATTATTTTTACGAAGAAAAAAATTCAATTGTACCAAAATTCTCAATCATTCTTCCCTGTGTGCAGTCCAATGATTCTTAAAAAATATCCGCAATATGCAATTTTTAAATAGTTTATTCAAATATTGTTTATTTGCGCTTCTATGTAAACAATAACATTAAAACACGATGAAAAAATTTAGTCAGTAATTTTTATCGTTGGTTGTATTTCTAGCCATTGTTGTTTCGTGATTTCGATTTTTTAAAGAGCAATAACCATATTAAGAATCTGTGAATTGTTGGAGTTTTGAGTGCTCGATTCGACGCTTTCATCGTCCACCTTGGTAACATTATCCAATGAACTCTGTGAGTTTTCAGTGCTCAATTCAACACGTTCATCGTCCTTCTTGCTATTAACGCGATTAATGTTTAAACGGATGGATTCGTTAAGCACTTTTGTTTTATCCCCAACAATAAACTTAATCCATTTAGTGTTCCTGAAGAGAATAAACGTCGGTAATAATTTGATTCCGTATTGTCCACCTAATTCTTGGAATCCGTCAATATCAACCTAAGTAAAAGAAAAGTGTTTCAATTTAATATTTGTATTGACATTTTGTGAAGGGAAAGTAAAATTGTGTGAAATGTTTCAACTTCTAGAATTCTAATATACTGCTATAGGGCCTTTTTGCTAAATTTTTCGAATTACTTGACGAATTTGAAAATAATATACATTATTAGAAAGATGAAGATTACATCTATCTAAAAAAAAATTAGAATCCTTTTTAGTGGCTCAGAAGTTATACCCAAAATTCCGAATTTCCCGCTTGAAATTGCCCGACCAAAATCGGCCACCTAGGAAATATCACCTTTATTCGTTTTCTGCGTAAATGTATACGATTAAATGTAATTGGTAATGTTGAATATTGAACAAGGTTGACCAATGACCATACGGTGCGCACTGCACTATACGTACACTCACGTATAGTGTGCTTCGGAAATTTTCTTCCATCCGAGTTGTGATCTTCTTAACAACATAATAGCTGTAACGTCCAAATAGGTTACACAGACTAGAACTCTCATGCACAAAAATGTATGTGCAAGTTTGTATAAATATAATTCGACACACCGTCTGTGTAACACAGTCAACGTCGTTCTACGTTGAATATTGTTAATAACTATGGATTGAAATTTCGAAATGATGAATTAAATGAATGAAAATCGTATAATTACCATAAGCACGACGAGCTCTGACGCATTATATAATTTGGCTGTTTCTTCCAAAACTCGTCTCATCTTTATGCTCAATCGACACCAAGTGGCATGAAAGTTTCTAAGGATGAAAAAAACATAAGTCATTAAACAAAATTTGTTCCAATACATGACAGAAATACATACTAAAATTTGAAACAAAGACGGATTTCTTGACAATAATACGTTTCAATCATTTTTCGTTTGAGAAATGAGATATAAGTGAAAGTTTCTTTTGGATAGTTAACCCTCTAGTTCATACAACCGTACAACCGCCTTTGAACGAGCAATATTTGAACGCCTGTATAACATTGTTCATGATGCAAATATGGTTCGTGACAACAGGCCAATTATGAGAGTGAACCGTCAATCTAGGAGGTTGCATCAACTTTTCAATCCTCATACATCTAGAACTGACTACGGTCTACACCGCAATCCAACAATGCGAACTCAACTACTCTACACACTCAATATTATAGCGACATTGACATTTTGAGCCTAAGCAAAGTGCAATTTAAAGATGCAATTAAAAATAGAATTTGATTTCGATTATTTTTCATTCTTTTATAAAAAAAATTTAAATTTAATTTTTCTTTCTCATTCATTTTCGAGAATTCAACAATTTTCTTTTTGTTTTAAATGAAATGTTCGAGATTCTTTGACCAAAGTAACTATCAAAATTGTAAAAACAATAGGTGATAAATTGTAAAAGGGATTTTTCCTATTATTTACACCTCATACTCAAACAAAAAAAATAAAATAAAAATAACGTAAACCGTACGTCGGATCACATTGCATCAAAAGTCATTTTTATTCTTCATATACTAATATAATTTTGTTCTTTGCACTATTAGCCTACATCAAGCGGTTGTTGTGTTATATACAAGAATTTGCGAAAAAAAACCAAATAAATTATTCCCTTTCAAAATTAGACATATTTTTGACAATTGAATATTTTTTAAATTATCTGTGGCCAAAAATGAACCAATTACCAGTATTCTCAGCCCTGGGAGAAATTATCGCACTAGAGGGTTAGTTTATAGATTCGAGTTGGTACCTATAGATTTAATTTATTGACCATTATCAAATGAATGGTTTGGAGTGAAAATGTAATACAGAAAAGTTGAGCGGAAAAATGTCAAATAAAAGGGGATAGCTATATAGTTTACTATAATCATCTTTAATATCAATTTTTTCAACAGCACTTATTAAACTAATGCACAAACAGAACAAAATCACTGCGAGCTTCATTTTGGGATATGTATAGCTCTTATTCAGTTCGTGGCTGAATTTTGATTAATCTCTTTGTGGACAGTTTTACTCATTATAAAGTGATGAAATTGAATCGTACTATGAATTATTCATTTCTTATCAGCAATTTTTTCAAGTTAGATTCGTGAGTGTAAATTGATTTTAAACCATCATTTACTTGGTGTGCTATCATTTTCATTAAAAGAACAGGTCAAAGAGAATGTTCTTCACGTCTTCAGGCTATCAACGTAACTGAACAAAATACATTGAATACAACAAAATTGTGTCAAACAAGGCAACTCCATTTTCCAACAATTAACTTATCATTACACAACGACTAATTTGTCACCGGCTTCCCGTAGTTGTTCATCGAATTCAGCCTCCTCTGTAATTTCGAATAT